AGAGAGAGAGAGAGATGTAAATATATATGTGTATATGTATGTATATATATATATATATATATATATATATATATATATATATATAATATATGTATGTGTGATGTGTGTGGTTGTGTGTGTGTGTGTGTGTGTGTGTGTGTGTGTGTGTGTGTGTGTGTGTGTGTGGTGTGTGTGTGTGTATGTGTGTGTGTGTATGTGTGTGTGTATATGTGTGTGTTGTGTATTGTGTGTGTGTGTGTGTGTGTGTGTGTGTGTGTGTGTGTGTGTGTGTGTGTGTGTGTGTGTGTGTGTGTGTGTGTGTGTGTGTGTGTGTGTGTGTGTGTTGTGTGTGTATATACTCACACACACACACCCACACAAACAAACAAACATATGTATATATACATATATATATATATATATATAATATATATATATATATATATATATATATATATATATCTGTGTGTGTGTGTGTGTGTGTGTGGAAGGGGGGTGTCAAACGACAAATAACTTTTCAATATTAACTTTGTCTTCAATTTATCGCCAATAGTAGCACTGACATTAACATATCATTCTCCCAGTAACATTTCCATAATACTATTTTCATCATTAAGTTTACAACCGTTCACATTGGCTTTTACTTCCCTCTCCTTTCCCACTATTGACAAGTATATCACAGCAAAACACACCATATTGGGATATCGTAAACATCACAAAAAGTAAGTAAGTTGTCGTAAAACAGTTTGATTTCAAGATTGCTGCCAAGATCCTGCCAAGCGCCTTCTCGTTCAGGCCAATTTAATTACTTATCTTCAAGAACTGGTTCTCTTAAGCCCACACTCCCGCCGTTTCTAGAATATGAAGCTTGCGTATTGAACCATCACATATACATCATTATAAATACATAATAAACACTATATATTATACTATGCTAAATATAATATATATTATAATAGTTAATAATTATATATCATGTAACTATAATTAAACATTATGATATATAATAACTAGTTCTAAAGGAATGTATAGGAGGAGAACTAGAGATATGAGTCTTAATTCAACGTGTGGGGACAAATAGACATTTTTTTATATTTATTTATTTCTTTTTTTTATTTGATGGGTTATAGTTCGGCCATATGAGCTATAATCGGTACATTATTACAGAAATATAACAACAAGGGAGAGAAGACTAAGTGGCATAATATAATATAAAATGAGCACTTTCGAACGATAGGATGAAGAGCAGTAGCGGAATCTAATACATGTGGATGATTGCGGTGGTAATTATGATCAATACGTTATTTAGCTATAATTTATAAACTATTTATAGGAAGGCAAATTCATACTAGCTATATTACTATGATCTATCATTACTTTATATGCTACCTGTATATATGTCCCCTATATAATAGTATATAATAACCTATATATATATAATATTATACCATACACCACACACACACACACACACAACACTACACACTCGAAGCATATGCGACTATATACACTCTTTATATTATCTATCTATATATATATACATATATAGTTACCTAATACATATATATATCCAATATACCATATTAGTCTCTTCATCTTCATTTACCCATATATACCTCATATCTCCTACTACTAATCATAATATATTAATAAATATATAATATCTTGGCTAAATATATATATGCTATATATAGTTCTGAGCGCTCTCATATACACACACACACACACACACAACACACACCACACACTACACACATATATATATAGTAAGCTTATACATATCTTCCCTAGTAATCTATCGTAATATATTACTCTTACTCCTTAATACTTCAAATATTATATTATAATAATACATATAGTAACATAACATACTATATATCTCAATATATTATACCTATATTATATATACTATATACATATAATATATATTACTAGTATATATATATAACTGATTATATATATATCTGTATATATATATATATATACTATATATATATTATTATATCATTACTATAATCTATTATCCTAATTATATTTGTATATCTATCAGCATATATGTATATATATACACTAATAATATGGTACTCATATATTAACGTATATATATATAACTATATATGTCTATATTATATACTATATATGTATATATTATATTATATATATAATAATCATATATATATTATATATACGTAGTATATTACACATATAATATCTATATACTTAACAGGTCGTGTGGTGTTAATCCACACATTATAATCATCACAAACCACGCACAGAGTCATACCAACAGACAACATGTCGGTACAGTACGCGTATAAGGTGCCACAATATCCTGAAGCTCGAAGTGATCTCGAGGTCACGACACAGGTCCCCATGGACTCCGATCCCAATTCTTCTCATTCCATCATCTTCAATCTCCTCATCGCCCTTCTCTCTCCGTACCGGCGATCAGCGCGTACATCCAAAAAAAATCGTCATCCTCCTCTCTTTCCTCTCCTCTTCTCTCTCTCCTTTTTCCCTCCTCTCTCCTCTTCTTTCTACTCCTTTCCCTACTGCCCCTCATGCCCTTCTCTCCGCTCATACTCCTCATCTCTCTTCACCTCTTCACTCTCCTCCCCTCTCTTTTCTCTCTCATCCTCTCTCTCACCTCCTCATTCCTCATCTCGCCTTCCCCTCTCCTCCATCCTTTCTCCCCTCTCACTCTTATTCTCTTCTCCTTCTGTCACTCCTCCTTCCTCTTCTTCTCCCTCTCTCTCTCCACCTCTCCCTCTCCTCTTCACCCTCTTCTCTCTCCTTCTCCATGTTTCCCTACTCCCTCACCCCTCCTTTCCCTCTCCTCTGCCTCCACATTCTCTCTCCCTTCCTCGCCACCTTCTCCTTACACTTCCCTATCCCTCGATCACTCTCTCCTCCCCCACGCTACTCCATACCTCCTCACCACCCCTCTCTTCTCCCTCTCATCTCTCTCTCTACTTTTCCTCTCTCTCATTCACCTCTCTCTCCTCATCCACTACACACATCTCTTCTCTTTCTCTCTCGCTCTCTTTCCTCTCTCTCTCCCTCTCCTCCTCCTCTCTCTCCCTCTCTCTCTCCACCTCTCCACTCACCCACCACACACTACACACTCGACTCACACACATCGACTCCACACATCCCCCTCATACTCTTCCCTCTTCTCTCCACGTCGCCCATCTCTCTCTACATACACACATACAAACCCCTCTCTCACTCTCTCCTCTCACATCCATACTCAACTCGTACATCCTGGTCACATAATCTAAAAAAAGTGTCTAGCTCCATGCTCAAGGTTTTTGCTTAATTCAGCTACGATCACCTGAAGACCTGTGACGCTTTTTTATTCCAGAGGATCAAGGCGAGGTCAAGCTCAGTGTCGCTCCACCCTATAATAGCCATTGAGAAATATTTTAGATTGATTGTTTACCTTTTTTTGATGAGAGAGGGATACGGTGAGAAGTGTATGTAGGAAAATATTATTTGATTATTAAATATTACTATTTCATATGATGTTAATATATTATTATGGTACTGAACATATTGATGATTATTCATATATTCGCTATTTGATATACATCAGTTTTATTATTTATCGTCTTTCTATTCTATTCATTCCACTATCTATCATCCAGCAACCATCATTAATCATATTATTATATTATTACTTTTCATCACTATCATTTTTATCATCACATCACATCATTGTTACTATCATTTCATTACATTATCTTATGTTATAATTGTTCCAATTCTAATAATCATCACCAGTATATTAATAATAAAAAATAGTAACAATAATGATAAAGAACAATAACAAATGAATTAATTGAAAATCTAAAAAAAAGATAGGCAGTAATTCACCTGTCCGATAAAGGTCAGCTGATCTCTTTATTCATTTTCGCGGTGACGCAAGCGAGAAGCAATCGAGGCTTCTCCTTGTAAGACCCAGGGGTGACTCAGCCGGCCCGGGATGAGTTTCCAGTATTATTATCTTGTGGGGGTTGGTCTGTCTTGGAATATTCGTGTGTCGTTCGGTTGTATCGCGCTGTTCTGCTGCGTAATGTGTGTGTGTGTGTGTCGTTGGGCTACTGTCGTGTTGTCGTTCGTGTTGCTGTGTGTGTGTGTTGGTGCTCTGTGTGTTTCTGTCGTGTGTGTGTGGCGTTCGTGTGGTGTGTGTGTGCTCGTGTGTGTGTAGTTGGGTAGGGGTGCTGTGGTCTTGCTGGTGTATGCTGTGTGTCTGTATGTGTGGTTGTGTGTGGCTTTCTGGAATTTCATGTATTGGGTTTGCGTGCGTGGTGTCCTCACTTCTTACCTATCTCTCACGCCTTCCCGCTCTCTCCTCTTACTCCCCCTCCTCTTCTTCTCCCTCTCTCTCTCTCTCTCTCCCTCTCTCTCTCTCTCTCTCTCATATATATATATATCTATTTACTACCACCTATCTACATATCATATAATCTTCATTACCTCTCTATATTAACTAATTCTATTATGTATATCTTCTATAATAACTATCGTCTTATATCATATATATATCTCTATCTTACTATATAATATATTATATACTATATATATACTTATCCTGTTAAACTCCCTCTCTCTCTATCTTCTTTCCCTCTCTTTTCCCTTTCTTCCATCTCTGCTCCTTCGTCCTCTTTTCTCTCTCCTTCTTCCTCTCTCTTCTCTCTCTTTCTACTCTCCTCCTCTTCTCTTCTCTCCTCTCTCTCTTTCATCTTTCTGCTCTCTCTCTCTCTCTTCTCAGTCTCTTCCCTCTCCTCTCATCCTCCTCCTCTTCTCTCTCCTCCTCTTCCTCTCCTCTCTCCTCCTTCCTCTCTCCCTCTCTCTCTCCCTCTCTCTTACTCTTTGAGTGCGTGGCCTAAGACTAATGGCGCTGGCGATAATATTTATCACCAAATGGATTTTAATCATTCGACACGTGGAGGCACCGACCTTCATCTCGCTGAGCTGAAACATGCATAAAAGGAAGGCTTTCTATTGACAGCCGCATT